CCTAGAAATCATTATCTCAGGGATAGAAGCGATGGTTAACAGCAGACCAATCACCACAGTAGCCTCAGGGGCAGACGAAGTGGAGGCCCTCACCCCGGCGAACCTCTTGTTCGGATATAAAGGGAAAACTATAATCCCAGAACACCTCTCGAAGCCCAAGAGTCCAACAGACTCCGACAAGGTCGTTTTCTCGAGGAGATGGAAGTATCAACAACGACTCCTAAGCTCCTTCTGGAAACGATACCACGAGGAATACCTACAATACCTCGAGACAACCCACAAACAGAAACCAATCTCGGCAAGGCCTCTGAAAATCGGAGACGTATGCCTACCCCAGAGAGAAAGTTTCAACAGAGCACTCTGGCCGCTGTGCAGAGTGATCATTCCCCGAAAACATCAAGCCAGAAAACGCTAGATCATGTTTCATCAAAACAGCAAAGGGTCAGACCCTCAACCGCCCAATCAGGAAACTCTTTCCTGAATTAGAGGCCTGAAAACACCTCAAAAAAAGACACCACAGCATCTCGGAACGCCATTTTTCGGCTGCCGGTCATTTATTCATAGCGGTGGTACCGCACGATGGCACTCCCGGAGGTACAACGACAACTGGGAGTAAAATTCGCGGCCCCCCGGGGGCGCGTCCTGGTGGTCGTGCCCTGGGCACATGTCGACTGTCGCGTAGTCGAAGCCCCGAGGGGGGAAGAAACGCGCACCCAGCCAAATTATCGTGGCTTGCTCCCCCTCCTGGAGGGTGACTGGGCGGCCGAGGGCCAATTGCGCTTGCAAGGTACACACTTACCTCTCCGCGTACCAGCTCGGGGGCACGCAGAATTCAAGGCGCCGAGTCAGCCCAAGCTGACCCGGCGCCGCCCGCGCACCCCCTCGCTGAGCACACTTCGAGGCGGCTTGATAGGGTCGGCGCTCGGCGGCGGTCAAGGACCCCCAGATGAGGCCAGTGATGGTGTCGACCTCCCTGGTAGGATAATGATTGAGCATGAGATACTCGTACATCAACTGAAAAGGAAAGAAATCCTTCATCACTCAAGGAGAAACAGCAGCCCTCCAGCCTCACAAATCATCAAACGGAATTTACGTCAAATCAATTCGCCTCACCTCCTCTGTGAATAACCCCCTGGGGGACCAGCGATAGCCGAGGCGATTTCCCTTGGTTTTTTGCTGCATGCCGTGTTCCTCGAACATATCTTGTGAGATAGAAGAACCACAATTACGCAGAATTCACGTCCGACTTCTCTCGGTGTCGAGACGAAAAGACCGATTCTGCCGCGCGCTTCCCGTTAGTCGATCCCTGCCCTCTCCATAGAGGGAAAATTTAAATTCGAATCAGTGGCGCGTGGCGATGCCTTTCTAACAGAATTCCCGACACCGGGTGCCGGAAATTCCGGGGGGGGGGGAGGTGTGACGAACGGACTAGGTCCATTGCGCATGCACTACACTCACAGCACACTATCCTTCCCAACAGATTCTAGTTTCCATTCAACTATTTACTCAGAGAGACCAGAGAGACTTATTGGGGAACTTCGGATCATGAATCCTTATTTTTTCATATCCTATTAATCAGTGTACAGTATAATCATCATCAATCTCCATTATATCTCCAGGAGAGATAAGAATAAACTCCGAGGAAGTCGGGCGCACCCAGATAGCAAACACACACTCAGCGCAGCGCAGATCGATCATACCGGTTTCTCCCGCTCACGGCGCCACCGTCAACAGTCAAGCAACCGGCCGGCGGAAACATCGAGCCGACAACACACACACAATCTGTCAGAGATCGAGAGTAGCGATCAACGGATCGCCTACATCAAAATCTCAGAATCATCATCCCAAGGGGTCCAAACCCCCAGTGCAGTGAAGTTAGCGGCTAGGCCAGGGATCAGACTCGCTAGTAAGCCCGACGAACATTTACGCATAGTGCGCCCACTTCCGGATTTCTCTACTTGAATTCTTCAGCGTCTTCATTCAGTGATCGTCTAGGACAGTGCGCCACAGGGCCCCTCACATCCCTCGACGAGATTATCCAATAGGCTATTCGCCACAGTGCACAGAGATTGCCCACTGAGGGCAGGACACCTCTCCCGAAGGCTATCTTTGCATAACCATGCACCCTTAGTTCGGATGCGGCGGGCGAACGCTGTCGAGATGGGTATCGGGACCTGAGGTACACAGGATGACGCGGGCGACACATCGCAACCTACACGAAAAATTAAGAATGGAATTTTGGGTTTCGGAGAGCGAGATGGCACATGGAGCAGATCTGTGAGAAAATCGGAATTCCAACATACCGCTATACCACGAGCACCAAATCGTGATTGTCATCACAACCAGGTTTGCGATCATCAGTGACCTCAGGAGCTTTCCGGGCGTCATAAGGAAATTTGTGCAGAGGTTCAGGGCGATCGCTATGCCGAGCTTGTTTAGGACGTTGGCAGTCATAGGAACAACACGGTCCTGGAGACAGGGCATCGGGGCGGCCGGGGGCTGAGTAGATTTGTTCTGATCCATCTCGAGTGGAGTTTTGATCATTGGAATGGATGAAGCTCTTAAGTAAGCCTCAAAATTGAAAGAGGATTTAGAAGGAAGATGCGAAATTATCATTCAATCAGAGATATCAGAAGCTCTGACAAATTGTGCGGACATTAGGTCTGGATTGATAATCGGAAATCCCAAAAATTTTAATCGCATGCCTCAATGTCTCGATGGATAATGCCGAGACTGAAGCCTACATTCGCGCACTTCATTGCTTGATTACGAACAGCTTTGAGGGATGGCTTAGATAAAGTATTCTCAAGCAAAGCTTGGAGATTGGGAATCAGCACCATGCCTGGGAGGCGACATACCGTTTCTTCTAGCCTCACGCGGAGATGGCTTAGACAGGTGAAGCAGAAGTCTAGCTTAGATAAGCTGAGCGAGTCAGCGTCATGTATGAGAAAACAACGCTCGAACCATAGAAGCGTTCGTGGAGCGGATGAGAATAATGATTTGTAATTAGAGGCAAAGGGTTGACTCATCAAGCCCCTTGTTTTTCTGTGTAGGGGGGAGTTGATGGGCTAAAGTAGCTACCCAGAAAAATTCTAATGACCATGGGTTGACTCACGGTGTCCAGACCGGACGCTGAAACAATGACTTCAGTATTCTGTAACTTAGTGTAAGTTCAGTGACCGTCATAATTACTGTGGACGGGTTACTACTTGACCCTTTCCTTCAAGCGCTATATAAGGCATAATAAAGATCAGTACTAGCGGGGGAGCCTTTGGTATTTCACACCAAGCAGTGTTCGTCTTTATTAGCCGATGTCCCAGTTGTATCAAGCACAGCATCGATTCGAGCTCACCGCAGCCAGAGCTAGTAGGCTAGATAGCCGAGAAAACCTATCACACATGATCACGAGCGAACTCCACAAGAATCCTTCCGGTTCTCCCACATCGCCCAGTTGCCACCGCCAGACTCAACACCTAGAATGGGAGGCCCAATCATGACCCCCATAGGCTCTCCCCAACCAGTCTCAACGAGTCCAAAAGCTCCGGAACCGAGCCCCCAGCGGCCATCGCGAGCACTTCTTCCAAAGAAAACCCGGAAAACTACCAGCCGAAGCTAGCGAAGAACTTCAAGATTCCAAAGTTCAACGGTGATTCCAAGGAATACCGAAAATTCATAAATACGTTCAACGCCTTCGTGCACAATCGCGAGATCCCGCTTCTTCAAAAGATAATCCTGCTGCAAGACTCGCTATCAGGCAAGGCCCACCACTCGGTGAAGCACCTCAATCTACGAGCGGAAAACTACGAGCCCATGAGGCAGCTCCTAGAAGAGGAGTTTGGCCAGACCAGTTACGCGGAAGACGCCCATGTTCGAGAGATGGAGAGAATCCTGTCTTCCGGAGGGGAAATCACAGTGGATAAGTTACCCTTTTTGTGAACTTGGTCTCTCAGCATATTCACGCATTAATCGCCCTAGGGCACACGTTCACATCGCTCTCACTTTTCACGAACAGAATACTAACCAAACTCTCGAACACTACACAACGTAAATTCATGGAAAAATACAGCTCTCAATCAACGAACCCAATAACGCAGCTGGAAAACCTGTTGAAGTTCATGAAGACAGAAGCCCGCCTGACGGAAGCACTCCGAGCAAAACAAGTGTAGTGTCGTAGAGCGGAAGGAGCATGGAGATGCCGCGTCAGGCAGGTTGTGCGCGGAGAGAGGACACGTCCTCTCCCGCTATGAATAGCAGGGAATAAACGTGACAAGATATTCGCCAACAAAAAAAAATATCGTAGTGGATTCCAAGAAGCTTTTCGACCGCACAAGTCATCAAACAAACCACGGCTTGAAGACAAAGAACAGAACCACCCGCTCCTGCCGGGCTTACACAGCTTCTCAGAAGAAGAGGAAGGAAACCTGCCCGAGGTTACTCAAGTAAAACTATCCAATCAAGAAATAGAGATGGAATACGCGGAAGAAAGCATGCAAATGGAAGTCGACGCATCGAGAACCGGAAGCAGCAGCCCAGAGCTCCAAGACTCAACGATAGCAGCGGAAACGGTAATGGAGCTCAGAGCGGCCGACGAACACCCAAGGGTGAATCGGGAGATGGGGGAAGACCCCAAAATCCAACGGACCCTACAAGAAAAACCCGCTCCGAACAGAAGTCCATCCCCAAGGAGGAAAAGAGCAGCCGACGAAGGTATTACTCCTCGGAGCAGCCTGCGAAGGCAGTACCCTGAGAGACAAAGGAAGAAGCCGAAATACTTGGATGACTACGTTTCAATGCAGTAATAGGGACACTCGTGAGATTGTGAAATAATTATAATGAAAGGACTTTCTAGTCAGTACTGGGAGGGAGAGTGTAGTGTCGTAGAGCGGTAGGAGCATGGAGATGCCGCGTCAGGCACGTTGTGCGCGGAGAGAGGACACGTCCTCTCCCGCTATAAATAGCAGGGAATAAACGTGACAAGATATTCGCCGCGAGATCGCGAGTCATCACTGACAATACTAATACAAGGTACCGAAAGGAAACAGTTTCCAACCTCGACGCCGTTCCGAAACTCGATCCAAGGGAACAAATCACCCCAATCGACCTCACATCGCAACAGGAACCCCAATTACCGAACAAAACCCGTCCAACCCAGGCCAGACCATATTTCGTATAAGAATACTTCCAACAGTTCCCATGTAGCGTCAATTAATAATCGAGTACCCAATCGCTCCGTCGCAGCCACTCCGCCCCGATCCCAACCCATACCATGCATTTTCTGTCAGGCAGATCACCCGGCCTTCGAATGCACCGCCCAGCTATCGCACCGCGAAGGCCTCTAGAGGGCTGCAGCAGCCGGAGCCTGCCATCGATGTCTGAAACTGAGCCACATCGCCAGAAATTTGGGCAGGGAGGGCCCAAAGAACAACTGCCGATTTTGCAACGCCGAACACTACGCAATAATTTGCAGCAAAGCTCCCATCAACCAGAACGAACCCTGGTTCGCGCAGACCCCAGGCCAATTAGACAGCAAATTCCCAGGGATCCCTTGGAACCAACAAATGGATCTTTTATCGGTGCCAGCCACTGAGGCCATTAACGAGCTCCAATCAGGAACACCTTCAGAGAGAAAACTCCTCAGAGGACTCGCCCAAATCGATCCTTTGGGAATTATTGGTCCGAACACCATAAACGCCACAATATTGCTTCAGAAGCTGTGGAAATCGAAAATCGGATGGAACTTAGCCTTAGATGGCCCGCACGCACAGGCATACGCGAGATTCACGGACTTGCTCAACAAGGACAAAGTGTCAATCTCCCGCCACATGCTTTCAAACACAGGCGACAAGTCGCGCAAAGAACTCCAAGCGTTCTCAGATGCCAGCGTAAACGCATACGGCTGCGTCATCTACCTCCGAGAGAGCTTTGGAAATACGAAACCGATCACCCATTCCGTTATGGCGAAAGCTAAAGTATGTCCGGTCAAGCCAATTGTAGTGTCAGGTGTCAGCTCCCTCTTACTTGTGTAGCGGCGGGCACAGCCAATCGGTAGTACCAGGTGCCTCGGTAGGGACGTGCACATCCGATCGAGGGAAAGATCCCGCTCGACGGAGTATAAAAAGCGCACTCGAATAAACCAGCGACGATGCTGTCCAACGACGCGGGTGTATTCCCATCGATGACGCTAGACACTATACTGGCGCAGTCCGACAAAAGCGACAAGTGTGGGGACGAAAAGTCATCGGGATACTCAGACTTAGCGTGACAGACAGACATCCAGGTGCAAAGTGTGAAATGACTGATAACGGCGGAGTGTTCGCGCCGGCAGCGTTCTGGTCAGATAAAGGATCGTCGCCCCCGATACCGTGGGAGGAGTGGATTGAAAACTTCGAAGTTTATCTGATCGCTCGCGGAAATACGTCGACATGGACCGTCGAGAGGAAGGTAGCCACGCTGAAACATTGTTTAGGTGTGGCAGGTCACGCGGCCTACCGGGAAATCGAAAGTATGCCAGCAGTAGGAGCAACCGAATACGAGAAAGTGGTGTTCAGACTGTCCAAGAGGTTTGCGGTGGAAAAAGGCCTGGCGGCAAGAAGAATGGATTTCGCAGCGCGCAAACAAAATCAGGGAGAAAGCGTGCGGGAGTTCGTCGGAGCCCTTAGAAAACTTGCGGGAAAATGCATGTTCCCGATCACCGCCGACGATGCGATCATAACCCAACTCACGGTGAATACCACCAGCGACGCTGTGCGAGAAAAGTTACTGAACGCGAAAGAAGGAACGTCTTTCGAAGAACTCATCGCTTTGGCAACACGAACTGAAATCAACGAAAAAGAAGCAAAGTCTCTCGGTAACTCAGTTAACGGTCACTCAATGTTCGACAAAACGGATATCAATCAAGTGAGGTCCCAACGTGGAGCCGGATATCGAGCACGTGGATCAACCTCTCGGCGAACTCCGATGCTCAACAGTGCCTCGTGTGGGAGGTGCGGGAACACTGGGCATGATGCTCAGTCGAATAAGTGCCCAGCAAGACGAGTGGAATGTTGGAGGTGCCGCCGTGAAGGCCACTATGCTAAATTCTGCGGCAGCAGAAATCAAATGGGAGTGAACTACGTCGATACGTCGCTGGAAGGAAACGAAGCCTCACCGGTCGTCGGAGACCCATACGAAGAGGAACCTACAGCGAGTTATCGGAGCATGGGCGCAATAAACAGTAATGTCCAAATTTACTACTTGAGTTATCAGCCATTAGGTAATCAGATCCTAGTAATGGCGGATATTGAAGATAGGAAAATCAATTTTCTTGTTGATACTGGAGCGTCAGTCTCAATCCTCAATGTACAAGACTTCGGCGGGAAAGTGTCCGATCTGACGAAAACCCCGATTGTGCTGAAATCCTACAAGGGAGAATGTATAGAAAACTTGGGATATTTCAGAAGTACGGTTCGGGTTGGAGAGCGTGTGGCGGCATGCGGATTTTTCGTGGTCCGAAGCGGTCGCTCACTGCTGGGTTGCGACGCGCTGCAGGCCTTGGGTCTCAGAATTGATTGTTCGCGGATGAAATGCGAGATAAACGAAATCACGGAAGAAAACGTGAGGGAAAAGTTCGGCGATCTGTTTGAGAACCGACTCGGAAAGGTTCTCGGATTCGAACACGCGGTTAGGGAGAAGAGAGGAGCACGGCCATTACAACAAAAAGTCAGGCGGCTACCTCTGACCGTCAGGGAACAAGTGCGGGAGGAGCTCGAGCGGTTGGAAACTTCAGACGTGATCGAACGTATCGAGTCGTCGGAGTGGATATCCGCGTTGGTGGTGGTGTCGCGGAAAGATGGCCGAATACGGCTGTGTGTGGATTTGCGAGCGGTAAACGCGGCGATAGTTGCTGATGTTTTTCCGCTCCCACACTTCGAGGATTTGTTGACGAGACTTGGTAGTGCGAGAGTGTTTTCGAAGTTGGACGCGCGCTCGGCATATCATCAGGTCGAGTTGGCGGAAAACTCGAGAGATCTGACCGCATTCATCACCCCATGGGGATTGTTTCGGTTCAAGCGAGTTCCTTTCGGCTTGGCGTCGGCCCCTGCGGCATTTCAGAGATTAATGGAACAAATTCTCTGGGGGATTGAGGGAGTCATAATCTACCTTGACGATGTTCTGATCTTCGGAGAAAACGAACGAGAACATGACGATCGGTTGCAAGCGGTTCTGTTAGCAATACGAAAAGCTGGTATGGTCTTAAATGCTAAATGCGTAATCCGAGTGACAGAAATCGAGTTCGTGGGCTATTCAATCGGAGCCGGGGGCATACGACCGACAGCGGGAAATATGAGGGCTATCGAGGACCTCCCGGAACCGAGGAATGCGTCACAGATTAAATCGGTCCTGGGAACTACTAGCTTCTATATGCGCTGCGTGCCCAATTTTTCAACTATCGCGGAGCCACTCAGGCGCCTTCTCAAGGCAGATTCCCCATTCGTCTGGGGTAAAGAACAAGGTGACGCGTTCAAGAAACTAAAGAATGAAATTGTCAATGCCAAACCACTGGCGGTGTTTGATCATACCAAGGAAACCATCGTCGCAACGGATGCATCTAATGTGGGTTGCGGCGCATGTTTGTTGCAGGTGCACGCTGATGGCGAGAGGCCGGTATCTTTCGCATCATGCGCACTGAGTGATGCGCAGATGAAATATTCCGCTGGGGAGAAAGAAGCGCTGGCAGTGGTATTTGCGGTCGAACGATGGCGAATTTTCTTATACGGCCGGAGATTCAGAGTACGAACTGACCATCAAGCATTGGTGGCATTATTGGGTTCGACAACAAGCGTGAGGGCTTCGATGAGAATCGCGCGATGGGCAGAACGACTGAGGGAATACAACTTCTCGGTAGAGTACAAACCAGGAGCCAATAATAACGTACCGGACATGCTCTCCCGCTTGCCTACCAACGAAAGATTCCAAACTCAGGGGGATGACGATAAGGTCATTGCGTTCCTAGAAGGGCTGTTGAAGCCAATAAGTTACATGGAAATAGCAGCACAATCGGAGTCGGATACAGAGTTGATCAACGTTCGTAAATGGCTGATAACTAACAATAGAGAGCTCGTGAAAAGGGTCTGGTGGCCGATAATCGCTGAGCTGAGCGTAGAAAATATGATTGTGATGCGGAGTAACCGGGTGGTTCTTCCCGTAAGCCTCCGGCAAAGGGCTATAGATATAGCGCATAGAGATGCCCATCAGGGAATTGTACGTACAAAACAGCGGCTACGACAAATTTACTGGTGGCCCGGGATGGACAGCGACACGGAACTGGCCATCAAGAATTGCGGGATCTGCTCCAGCAGCGAGCGAACTGCCACGGCTCGGACAGCACCCATTGTTACGACGCCATGGCCTAGCTCCGCATGGGAAAGATTGGCTGTCGACATCAGAGGTCCAGACTCATCCTGTGGTCTACAATGTCGTTTCGCAGTGGTCATCATCGACTACTTCTCAAAATGGGTCGAAGTTGAACTCATGGCGGAAGTCACCGCTCATAAACTAGTCGAGATGTTCCGTAAACTAATCCATCGTGAAGGAATACCTCAAGAAATAGTCAGCGACAATGGCGTGCAATTCATCAGCCAAGAATTCACGAAGATGATCGAAGAATTCGGAATCAAACACATCAAAACCCCCGTTTACCACCCAATGAGTAATGGACTATGCGAACGTTTTAATCGAACATTGGGGGGTTTCCTCGAAACGGCGAAACACACCGGAGGAGATCTACGCAAGAAACTCGTTGAAATGATTGGGGCATACAATTCCACGCCACAAGCAACGACGGGGAAATCGCCGGCGGAACTGATCCATGGTAAACGAATGCGAACGAAGCTCGACATCACGAACCATCAGAAAGAATACACCGAAGAACACGAAACCCTCCGACAGCAGATCGCGGCGAAACAACTGAAACAGAAGATCTATGCAGATCAACGCCGAGCGGCGAAACAAGAAGAGTACAACGTGGGAGACTGGGTTAGAACGAAGAAACCGCAAGCGAAAAAGGGTGAAACTCGCTACAATCTACCCGCCCGCATCGAACGCCGTTATGGAAAAAATACCTTCAAAATTTCAGACGGACGCATATGGCATCAAAACCAGTTCATCCGGGGCAAACCCTCAATCGGAGCGGCCACCGTAAGACAGCAAACCGTTCAGGGGGCACCAGAGCACCCCGTGTGGTATGGAAGCTTGAATTGCTTCGACGACGAAGAAAATGCTGAAGTTGTGGACAACGAGCAAGACCCCGGGGAGGAAAGTCGAACGGGATCCGCGAGTCAGCCGAAAGTCGACAGGTCGGGATCAAACAGCGTTGGTGGCTCTCTCGACGCAGATCACACTGAAGCGGTTCAGACGATCAACGAACAGCCGGAAGATATCTGCGACGAAAAGGAGCCCGATACAGATCACATTACACAACCGGTCGACGACGGTTCGATGAAAAAGATCGAGCGGGCGCCAACCAGAGACTCGAGTGCGATGGAAGTAGAAGAGGGAGGGCTCGCCGAGTGTCCGTCGGACGAAGAATTTCACGATGTAGAAACAACACCAAGGGCCGCTCAAAAGGCGGCCGTCAAGAAGCGAACGGCGGAAGACCCAAATACCCCGGAGACCTGCATACGGAAAGCCTCGCACCGAATCAGGAAACGACCGAAATACTTGGATGACTACGTATCCAGATAATACTTTATTAATCACCGGACTTTAATTATGGGAGGGAGAGATGTAGTGTCAGGTGTCAGCTCCCTCTTACTTGTGTAGCGGCGGGCACAGCCAATCGGTAGTACCAGGTGCCTCGGTAGGGACGTGCACATCCGATCGAGGGAAAGATCCCGCTCGACGGAGTATAAAAAGCGCACTCGAATAAACCAGCGACGATGCTGTCCAACGACGCGGGTGTATTCCCATCGATGACGCTAGACACTATACCAATGTCGATCCATCGCCTAGAGCTTCTGGGCGCGCTTCTAGCCAGCCGACTACTGTCATCGGTCAAGAGTCTCATGGACATACAGATCGACTCTACCCATCTATACACCGATGATTTCCAGCGTCCTAGGATGGGTGAACTCGGAACCGGAACGCTGGAAGCCATATGTAGCCAACAGAATCCGGCGTATCGACTCTCTCGTCCGCCGGGCCGTCTGGAAATATGAGAAATCAGACGAGAATCCAGCCGACCTTATTTCGAGAGGAGCAGACCTCTCCTCCGATCACAACAAATCACTATGGAGAAAGAGACCTCAGTGGTTGCGATCGCTGACGTCAGACGTCGATCGCGCACCCGCGAACATTGTCTTCGGAGACACATCAGGGAAACAATTCGATCCAGAACGCCGAGAGAATGTCTCCTGCATGGCAGCCACATCGGCCAATCCACCCTCCACAGAGGAAATATTCTTCGAGAATAAATTCTCTTCTTGGCTCAAAGCCGTTCGCTTTTGGGCTCTCATGCAGAGACTAGTGAAGAAGGCACAAGATGTAAGAGATCGAGTTGCTCAGGGAATCAGTTTCCAACGGAAATCCCCTCAAAAAACAGGGTATCCAATTCGACGCCGAAGAATTGCTCAGAGCCAAAACGTCTCTACTTCGACTGATCCAAGAAAAATACTTTAAAGAAGAGATAGATAACACTGCCCGACAGAAAAAAGAAAATCCGGATAACAAACTTGTGGATGGTCATCATGGGATGATTCGGGGTCGCAGATTCCGAATCTATCGACAGTTTTCTCGGATTGGACCTAGTTTCTTCGTTATTGGTCGCTTTCCGTGATTCTCGTGATATATGCCTCCTTAATCCTTTTTCTCTGCCTGAGGGTGAGCTAGATCCCTGAAATTTCGGAGAGGAGAACTTCTCTTTGCTGGCTACCCCTGGGACGAGTTTCATGCCGTTTGGAGTTGTGGTCTCCGAGCTGGAAGACTTCAGCGGTCGATATCCTGGGGAATTCACCCCTTCCCCAGCTGATAGCGAAAAAAATAGAGCTCTCCCTGCCACCCACGGTCGAACTTTTGCGAATAGAATCCAAGCCCAAACATTTTAAGACGAAGTTTATTGAGATGATATATATGCACAGAGATTTATCCAACAGATATTTACAAAAATTAACAGAATAGCTGGGAACGCTTGCCCAGCTGTGAACAAAATTCGAAACGAGTCCCGCGGGGGGGAGGATCGTTCATCCCACACACGCGGGTTTTTGCTACCCTGGCTCGGCGATCTGCCTGCGGCGAGGACCGATGGAGCCCCAAGTCAGTGCCTGTCGCGAATGCGGTCTTGTCGATTCCCTCATTAAATTCCAACAGTAATTATGCTTGGTCAACAAGCCGGCTATACCAAATATCCCTGCTTTCTCTGTCTATGTCTATGGGATAGCCGAGCTGATCGGGAGCATTGGACACGGAGGGAGTGGCCTTCCAGAGATTTGGTTGTCGGCCACCACAATGTGATCAGGAGCCCGCTTGTGACGGCAGACAAGATCATTTTCCCTCCCCTGCACATAAAGCTTGGACTGATGAAGCAGTTCGTGAAGGCCCTCGACAAGCAAGGGCAATGCTTCCTTTTCATCGTCCGAAAGTTACCGGCGGTAAGCATCCAAAAGCTCCAGGCTGGGGTCCTCGACGGGCCGCAAATCCGGAAACTGATCGATGACCCAGCCTTCATCGAGTCCATGGATGCGAGGGAAGCAGCCGCTTGGCGAAGCTTCGTGATGGTCGTGCGGAATTTCCTCGGAAGTTTCCAAGCTGAGAATTACGCACGACTCGTCCAAGATATGCTCGATAGCTTCCAGTCACTCGGCTGTCGCATGAGTATCAAAGTTCATTTCCTCCACAGTCATCTTGACCATTTTCCGCGAAACTTGGGCGCAATGAGTGATGAGCAGGGTGAGCGCTTTCACCAAGACATTGCAGTCATGGGAGAGCGGTATCAGGGTCGTTGGGATCTGCACATGATGGCAGATTACTGTTGGAATTTAATGAGGGAATCGACAAGACCGCATTCGCGACAGGCACTGACTCGGAGCTTCATCGGTCCACGCCGCAGGCAGATCGCCGAGCCAGGGTAGCAAAAACCCGCGTGTGTGGGACAAACAATCCTCCCCCCCGCGGGACTCGTTTCGAATTTTGTTCACAGCTGGGCAAGCGTTCCCAGCTATTCTGTTAATTTTTGAAATATCTGTTGGATAAATCTCTGTGCATATATATCATCTCAATAAACTTCGTCTTAAAATATTTAGGGCTTGGATTCTATTCGCAAAAGTTCGACCGTGGGTGGCAGGGAGAGCTCTATTTTTTTCGCTATCAGCTGGGGAAGGGGTGAATTCTCCAGGATATCGACCGCTGAAGTCTTCCAGCTCGGAGACCACAACTCCAAATGGCATGAAACTCGTCCCAGGGGTAGCCAGCAAAGAGGAGTACTCCTCTCCGTTTCAGGGATCTAGCTCACCCTCAGGCAGAGAAAAAGGATTAAGGAGGCATATATCACGAGAATCACGGAAAGCGACCAATAACGAAGAAACTAGGTCCAATCCGAGAAAACTGTCGATAGATTCGGAATCTGCGACCCCGAATCATCCCATGAAGACCATCCACTAGTCTGTTATCCGGATTTTTTTTTCTGTCGGGCAGTGTAATCAATGCAAGAACGTCAGGCGTACGAGCGTATTGTATCAATACAATCCGGTCATGGACCCCGACGGTCTCATACGATGTAGATCTCGCTAAAAGCGTTCCTCAGAACTATCCAGCAATCAGAAATTTCCCATCATCCTCCCAGCGAGCTGTGGACTATCCAGGCTACTTGTCCAGGACATCCACGAGAAAAAATGTTTCCACTCAGGGGGGATAAACTATATCCTCCAACATCTCCGACAAGGATACCTGGTCATCCACGCGAGAAAAATAGCACGTCAGGTTGTGAAGGCATGCGCCACATGCAAGATTTTCCACGCAGACGCAGCAGAACTGCCGACCCCCCCATTGCCAGCATTTCGAATCGAGGAAGCTCCTCCATTCTACCACTCAGGGTGCGATTTCACGGGTCCGATAAGATACAAGAAAGACTCCGGCGAGGTCGGGAAAGGATATATCCTCCTTTTCACCTGCGCAGTCACCCGAGCGGTCCACCTAGAACTAACAACAGATCTATCGACAGTTGAAGTCCTAGGGGCATTACAAAAATTCTTCAACCGATTCCCCTCGGTGAGGACAATAACCTCGGACAACGGTCTGTCCTTCAAGAGAGCATCCTAAGAACTGAAGCTAATTTACGAGAACGTCAAGAACGGAGAAATAAAGAAACTGCTATCAGACTTGATGATCTGCTGGAAATTCATCGTACCGATGGCACCGAATTCTGGAGCTTTCTACGAAAGACAGGTCCAGACCATCAAGAGACCACTTCGAAAGATCCTAGGATCCGCAGTCCCTCACTTCAGAGACTTAGAGATAATCCTCAGCGGAATCGAAGCAATGGTTAACAGTCGACCGATAACTACGGTAGCTCCAGGAGCGGATAAGATTGAAGCTCTTTCGCCAGCCGATGTCCTCTTCGGATACAGAGGAAGGACAGTCATTCCGGGACACTCATCGAAACCGAACAAGGCCTCGGAAGCCGATAAGATCATATTCTCCAGGCGATGGAAATACCAACAAAGAATCCTCAGTTCTTATTGGAAGCGATACCACGACGGATCTCCCCAGTACCTCAAAACGGCCCATCAGCAAACTCCGATCGCGGCAAGGCCCCTGAAAATCGACGACGTGTGTCTACTTAAAGGAGAATCCTACAACCGAGCCTTCTGGCCCTTGAGCCGAGTCATCTCGTTCCCAGACAATACCCCACCCGAGAATGCCCGATCCGGTACAATCAGAACAGCCAAGGGCCAAGTCTTCCATCGCCCGATCCACAAGCTAGGTATACCCCCAAGAAGCCCGAAGCCATACAACCCCGACATCCCTGAGATCCGCTGTAAACAAACGACAGAAAGAAAACCCAACAAATCAAGAAATTTTTTGACGTAGAACTACGTCATTATGGACGCTGTCCAAAAAAATGTGACGGATCCACTTACGGATGCACGAATGGTTTCGGATTGAGGGTTTCGAAATCGCGGTAGGCTTCTCAGGCGACATCTGGTACGGTAAAACTGTCAGAGAGGCTATTGAACTCCCCGCGACTCCGTGTCCAGAAAACTACCTCTGGAACCTTCGAATCACCTCAGTTATTTAGAATCATTGGACATTGAAACTAAACGTGGTGCGTTATCATGCATTGTGGTACTCAAGGGTGCCGCCGGAGTGCCGGAGCAAACGATCGTGCCACTGAGCTGTCAATCGTGGTACGAAAGCGGCGAACTATCAGGTATAGTATTGGGGTATCAGCACATCGTCTCCCACGCAACTCCGGAAGCGAGTCGGATGATCAGCGCGCCCGACACATCTACATTTGCATACGCGCCGCCGCCTGGTCACCTCACGACCGAACTGAATCATTTAGATAATGGGAACTATATAGACAGGATCCGGCTCCAGAACCGTCTCGGGTGCTCAAAGCCGGAAAACTGAATCTCAGCCACGCCGAATCCGGACGTAGAATATGATCCGATACAGCCAATTGTTTGCAATATTCGACTTTCCCTTTTTCACCGTCGGCTTATACTTTCATCCCTTATTCCCTCATCAGTGAGGACCGAGGAACTTTGGAGGTTTTGAGCAAGGAGCTATATTCCTCATTCGCTGAATGAGGGCTCGAGACTCTCCTCCGAATTTGACACTTACTGCGATAAAATTCATACATCAAATTACGGCTCCGCTCGACTGCTCGATCGTTTGGATCGGGACTCAATAACGATAGGAACATATCGTTGAGGACCCGGGACTCTCATGCGGGACCGAACTTCATTGGCTTCATAAGAGTGCGTCCGAACTTCATCCTCCGTGTCGAGACTTGAGATGACAGCAGCATATCGTTGAGGATCCAGGATTTTCATCTGGAATCGAACCTCATCGGCTCCGGAAGAGTGCGGCCAGACTTTATCTTCTGGATCGGGACTTTATCGGTTGAAACTCATCTTTGAGGACCCCAAATCAGAATCCAGGATCGGAATTCATCGCGAAACTATATTTTCAAGCCACGCTTCAACTATCTATATCTCGATTTCATAATCAAAGACTGAAACAATAAATCTTCCCTCGATTCGCTTCATAGACTTCATCGCGATCTCGCGATAAGTCCCCTCGAGTACGTTGACGTAGTTCTACGCAACCCACAGGTTTGGCTTCAAGCTAAACCTGCACTGAATTTTTTTCCATCGTTCCGCTGCCTGACGGCTCTCCCGTGACAACGCGAGAAGGCCCATGGCCTGCACGAGATGGGTTTCTATCTCGGCTCGCGCTGGGCGAGCACCGGATAGACCTCCAGATTTTCGTGCACGGCGCACCGCCTGACGTGCTTGCCCGCAGGGCACGATGATTCGAGGGGGACGGGGGGCCACAGCACGTCGGGCACCTCTGAGGTGGCGACCGTCATCCGTCGCTCGTCATTGGCGAACTGCCGCTCTAAGCAGCACATGTATCGCTCCGCGAGCCAGGAAGGCGGCGGCGGCCGCCGAAGCAGCCGCTGGGGCACCAGCTCAACGGCCGAGGGCCGAGCGCAGTCCCCGTAAAGGGAGCGGCTCAGCCGACGGTATGGCGCTCCATCGTACGAGCACCATCGACCCCCAGACCAGTTTGGAGAGCCGATTTACCTGAGCGACACTATACTACGCAAGTACGGGATAGTGCCGACACAGCTGAAGAACAGAAATGAAGAAAAAATCAGCCATCAAACTCGAACAGCCGGATCGTCGTGCAACTGAATCCCAGGGAGACCTTTCAACTTTTCAAAAACTAAATTCAAGTGCCGTCGAAGCATGACCCACCTCGGCTTCAAAAAGGCCCCGGGGCGAGCGCGGGTAAGGTGTTGCAGGTTGCTTAGGCGCTCGGTTTTTCTTGGCGTTGTCGTCGCCCCGGGCGTTTGAGGGAACCATAGTTGAGTTTAACGATGTACGTCCCAGGACTGACGGGGAGCAAAAGAAGCTCAGTCAGAGCGCGCGGAGAATTCGAGAACAACCGGCCACCAGAGGGCGTGGCGGAAATTGGAATGATGTGCGGGAATATTTGCAGAATTGTCAGACCCCACTCTGACAATTCGGCGGGGGACTGTCACGAACAGGACCAGGTCCGTTGCGTCATCATCAACCATTTATTACTCCCAGCACACTATTCCGACCATATTACACTCTATTCCAATCACATCACACCTCCCAACACGCACTCCCAGAGAGAGGCCAGGTACCAGGTAATCACCAAGGGTAATCTTACTATACAGTTAATCTAAGGGGTTCCCCCCCTTTCTTCCCGTGTATATATGCCATATTCATTATCCTTGTGTCATTCATTATTTCCTAAGATAAATAATCTCAATCAGAGATAAATAAATAAGACTCAGAGTCGGTAGCAGACTTGGGGATTCGCGCCTTCAGCGGCGGCGTGTATCAATAGCGAACCCTTCTCGGAACAACCATCTAGCCACTGAGGGCGCGACAGTCTCCAACAGCTGATCGTCAATGGAGCTGTCAGTGGCGAGGACTGTGACGTCACAAGTTGGTAGCAACCTCGATATCGGTAGCACCTGACCACGCTCAGCGCTCCCCGATATTTTTCAGGACTTAGGGTTCATATCCCTGATCCCTGTTTGCGAAGACATAGGTCTGGGTCACGCCCCGCTATCTAATTCATTCCCCTCAAGTGCGTACAGACTTAGAGTCATTTCTAGTGAATTCTTCGTGTCCTCATTGGAAGTGCCTTGAAGCTGTGCCACAATATATAAGACCCAAAAGGCGAATTATGGAAGGTTTTCCGGGTTGAACGACTTCCAGGAGTTCTCGGACGGGTCGACGGGCCGCGCCGTAGTCCTCGAGCGTGATGCGGGAACGGTAAGGAGAATCGCGGACGGCGGGGAGAACTCGAACCTCGGGAATCGGACCGAGAGTCCGTTCGGAACTGGCGAGAGACCATTGTTACGAACATGATTTCTGGAGCACGTCATCTTTACATCTACAGGGTTGTAGGTGTGTTGCGCTGAGAATCGGGAAAAAACTCTAGCTGGAGCACTAAAAATTGACGAGTATAGATTCATAAACGGGAGCTTGTATGGGTTACTCTCTTTTCAGTTTCCTATCAGGAGCCCGACACTGCAAATATCTTGGGTTCCTATCTCCGAGAGAGCCCTCGCTCGTTCCGCATTCCGCCCAAAAGATTTTCGCCCAAATGGCATTTCGCCCAGATGGCGTTTCGCCCAAATGGCATTCCGCCCAAGTGGCATTTCGCCCAATTGGCAGTCTCGCTCTCTTGACTTTCCGCCCGAATTACCTGTACCGATTTCTGTTTGACCGGATACAGTTTCTGACGACGCGTGAAGTTGATCATAGCCTCGAAATCTCTAAGATGCCGGAGGGATTGTTGTAGACACGCGCCGCTGGTCTCAAGCAAAGTGATTGTTCTCGGAAAGGAGTGCGAATTCGCAGACATCAGAATCAAGTCTTGCCGCAGCGAGTCTAAGCGGTACGAATCTTGAGCTTCTCCTATCGCTGCCGCGTTTGCGGAGACGAGATCATCGAGGAAGTTCCTGAAGGCTTCGAAATGCTCAGCATGGCAGAGCGCTGCGTTGATCGCAGAGCCCCAGCATGCAAGGATGGGTTTGGGAGGCAAGGGGACTCCGATGAGAACCGCGCGGAAGCATTCGACGCGTGATGGAGCCTTGAGTGAAACCTTCTCCACCGAAGATATCAATCGATCCACATTCGGGGGACTTTTCTTCGTGCTTGCTCGGCTGTGCGGTGTATCGCATGAGCTAAGCATGTCACGTGGATCATTTTCGGGAACAAAACCTTGAGGCTATTCGCGGCGGCGGCCGTGTATGAGGCAGCGTCAGAGACGAAAACGAGGACCCGCTCGTGTTGCACGTCATTCGGCCAAAGATCCTCCACACCCTTGTAGAACACTCTAGCGACGGTGTGGGCATTAGTTCTCTCTACGATTCCACAGTTGAGCATGTACAAATGTCGGCAGCCTCTTTGTTCAAGGCTCCGATTACGACATGGGCGATGCTTCTCGCCTTGAAGTCAACAGTCTCATCGATCGAAATCCAAATGCTTGATTGGCCGATGCTTTCTCGCGCACCCAGAGCACGCGCACCCAAAGCAAGCGCACCCGGAGCCAGCGCACTCGGAGCCAGCGCATGTGTAGTGAGTTTAGCGATACCGAGTCGCCGCGAAGCGGCGGCCGGGAGCGCTAGTTCATGAATATATTCGTTTTCGTATTCATGAATATATTTGTTTTCGTATTCATGAATATATTCGTTTTCGTATTCATGAATATATTCGTTTTCGCATTCATGAATATATTCGTTTTCGTCTTCATGAATATATTCGTTTTCGTATTTATGAATATGGATTGATTGATTGATTGATTGATTGATTGATTGATTGATTGATTGATTGATTGATTGATTGATTGATTGATTGATCGATTGATTGATTGATTTATGCTCCATTTCTGAAGAGACCCCGACTGCGGGGGCGTGATCGCTGGAGACTATGTGACGCTTCGCACCTGGGGTGTGGGTGGCTTCGCCTCCCTTCTCTCCCATCTTTCGAGAATCCGCTTAGTATCGTTAATGACTCGCCTTTCAGACTCCTCATGTAACCCAAGCCTTTTTTGAATCTCATCGTCACCGCATGTCTTTTCTTGGCATGCCATCAGGACGTGCTCCAGAGTTTCCTCCTGACCACAAATCCTGCAACTCGGGTCAATCCCTTCGAATCTTGACCTGAATTTCCTGGTTCTGAGGAAGCCGGCTCTCGCTTGTGCGAGCAATACACTTCCTCTGCAATTGTCGTATATGTGGTCAATGGTACCGCATTGTTGTTTGTGTTTTCGATGCCTTGCGAGGCTGGACTTTTTGTTCATGCCGTCTCTCCATTCTTGATGGACTAAATCTCGGATCTTTTTTCCACACTCTTTTTGAATGTGTTCAGGCAGGCTTCGCCTGCTTCCGATTGTTCCACCACTATCTTATCGCAGTCATGTTTCAATGACAGCGTTTCCATCCTCTCTACGGCTTTGATTTTGGCATTGTTGATGCTCATCATGGTTAGCATTCGTTTCGCCCATCTTTCGTCGGGCATCTCTTGTATGCGCTTGAAGTATGTGATTTTACTCTTGGCTTCCCTCTCTTCGAAAGTTGACCAGCCTAGCTCTCCTTTCAAGAATTCATTGGCTAAAATGCAGGCTGGTTCTCCTAGCGCCCACATTGCCGCTTGTCTCTGGGCTGATTCTATGTTTTTCCGTAGAGTATTCGACATGACGGTTACCGTGTTACGTGTACGTTAGCGCTGGAACGCGTGTGGCTCTCCACTGTATTTTCGTCGTTTCAAAATGATTGAATTTCCACAGCACTTTAGCATGTAGTTGATAAAGCGCCTTGCGCGTTCTCTCCTTCCAGATTTTTTCCTGGTCCTCGAGATAGTTTGCGTCTGTGCTTAGATGTATGCCCAAGTATTTATAAGTCCTTTCCTTCGGGATTATCTTACCCTGAATGTATGAGATCTCATCGGTTGTGTCGTCTACCCGATTGAATTCTAAAACCGCAGATTTGGCGGGATTGAATATGAGGCCTCTTTCCTCAGCGGAGGTAGACGTGATTTGGAGAAGTTTTTCCATGTCTGACCACGTATGTGCGATTAGCACTAGATCATCCGCAAATAGTAGTCCAGGAATTTTCCTGTTCTGATTTCTATTTGGTTGGAATATGTTTTTTGAGATCCGCACGTCATAGCCTCTTCTGGACTTGAGTAGTTGCTCTTCCAGCTCGGATATGTAGAGGATAAACAGGGTCGGCGATAGGGCGCAGCCCTGCCTTAGACCTACCGGTGTGGCGACTCTGTCCGTCACCTTTCTCTGTTTTGAGAATAACTGTATTCTCTTTGTATAGTAACTTCAATTGTTCTATGACCTCCCGACGCAGTCCGTGTTTCTCCAGGACTTCCCAGAGCTTTGTTCGGCAAACTTTGTCGTATGCTCGAGTGCAGTCTAGGAAGGTCGCTAGAAGTCCTATGTTCTGTATTCTCGCAATTTCTATGGCGCTTGTGAGTATGAAGAGGCAATCATCACCTCTACGCTTGTCTCTGTACCCATGTTGCATTTCTCCCAGTATTTTGTGTTTGACTATCCATTTTTGGATTTTCTTGTTTATAATTCTGGTGAATATTCTGTACGTGAGGGCCGATATAGTTGACGGTCGATACGTACATATGTAGGATCCCTTGTTTACTATTGGGTTTCTCAATTAGAGCCACCCTGGCCTCCGCCCATTCACGGGGTAAGGAAGCCTCTCCCTTAACGATTGCATCGTAGACTCGAGCTAGATATTCACAGCCTTCATCTCCTAGATGTTTGAGTATTCGCCCCTGGATCCCATCTAGTCCTGCCGAGGAGTGGAGAGACACTCTTTCTAGAGCTCCCCTGACATCTTCGTAGGATATCGCGAAGTTTTTAATAGGATGGGACAGTTTGTATCCACCCTCATTGACTGCTTCTGTTTTTTGTCCGTCTAGAAGATCTTCGATCGTCTCGGTCAAATGACTTCGGATTTTGCTGGCTCTGACTTCAAGGCCATTCTTGTCTTTGGTAGTAAGTTCTTTTTTTGTCACCATGTCGGACTCCCTGACATAGTTCCAGAAACGCTTAGCTCTAAGATTTCGTGGACATCGGACTATGTAATCATACATTTTCCTGTCCTCCGCAGCTATTTCCAAACTGATTTTCTCCGAGAGCTCTCTCTGAGCTTCTCTGAACTTCAGGAATAGTTCCTCAGCATCCTCTGCTGCGTTTTTCCTTGCTTTACGCCATTCTCTGCTGATATTTCGCTTAATTTTATCTAGGTGTGCAATCTCTCTGTTCCACAGAGCATACTTTCCTTTAATTGTAATAGCTTTGAGCTCTGATATTTTAGCCTTGATATTCTCCATCAAGATCTCGTGGCTTGAGCGCTAGTCTCTGGATTGTTGAATGATCAGAGCCGACACTTCCCGATCGTGAAACGGACAGCGTCCATAATGACGTAGTTCTACGTCAAAAAGACATCGAAACCATCGGATGCGCGGTGTCTCATCGTAGTTCCGCCTTGCCGCCGCTAGAGCATCTTTGAAGAAATGCTACAGTAAGCAGAGACGGCAGCGCGAGCAATAGCGGTTCTCTCTGACGAGTTAGCCCGCTAAAAGACATGTAACTTGATTCTGAAGGGGTTTGTACCCGAGCTGACAGTCGACTTTCTCTCAGAATTTTGATTATTGGTCAAGGAGATATTTGTCGGGAGAAGTCAAGTCAGCACGTACGGGAGAGAGGATCGGAGAGAGGTCTCCTCGTGGCCCGATCGCTCGTGAATCTTTCCAAGGCGCCAGTTCTAGCCGAATTCGGATAATTCGATCGGCTTCCGAAGCGGAGCTCCGCTTTTCAGAGGAGTCATTCAATATTGAAAAGAATTCAAACTGCGTGGTATCAATAAGGCGTTGTTTATCGAAAAAGCATTTTTCCATCATCTCAAGGGGGAATGGTTTCCTTCCACCCCACATTATTCGATTGGCTTTCGAATCTGAACCTCGCCGGAAATTTCATCTTTTAAATCATCCGCCATGGGAAATGAGAATTATGAAGATTTCTCTCTGAGTTTTCCCTAAAAGTGACGCTTCTTCCGAATCCCAAGAGGGGAATAGCATACTTTGCATTGTTCTATATTGTTCGATTCCTTTATGCAGGAACATCATGGGATATGTTTGGAAGAGCGAGTAGAGTCATCATTGTCAACGAAATTCCGTGTATAAGGCTTCCGACATTTCTCTTTCATGTCAGGGAGGACATGGCATTTTCTCACGGTCCCGCCGGTTGATTTAGGTTCCTCCGACTTCTTCTTGCCCATGATTCATCATTAATCAAACCCCATCAATCATTTGCGGCGATTTCGATTGGGATATGGAGAAACCAAACCAAAGAAATCAATTGATTAATTTCATTTCAACACAATTCAATGTCAATCTGATGACAGACCCGAGTCTATCAACCTTGATCTCATCTGCAATTAAAGTCACCGCGCAATATCATTTTCGACACTGACGTCGACACTGACTCGAGAATCGAGCACGATCCGAAGAAAGTGCGATAAGCGGAGCTGACACGTTGGTGGCGAACAAAGGGGAGCGTCGCGTCGTTCCGCGATACCGATAACCGGAGCTCGGAAACGAATCTGATTCTGAGCTTCGAAGAGGCTCTGACTCGGATGGCACCAGAGGCAGCGAACATTTCGAAGGCCCCCTTGATTTTTCGGACTCAAATAACAATTTCAAACATTGCTCGACAATCGATGACCTATGAAGCTTGTCCCAAAATCGACTGCCTGAAGAAAGTACAAGCGTTCGAAGATGGAGCGTTTCTGTGCTATGAATTCAAATCGACTTCCAGAGACTCAAGGAGGCGTTACCTCCTGAAACTGCTGGTCAATGACGGCAAGCGAGAAATCTGGTGTTCCGCGTCCAATGAGGAGAGATTATCTTCATATGGTCGATGTAGGAGTCTTCCATTGAAAAATTATGCTCAATTGATACACCAAGTAATGTCAACACGAGTATTGCGATTGCAGGTAGCTAAAAAGTTGCTGCTCCTCGGAGCATCGTCTTTCGAAGAAATCATTCGAACAGATGAAACGATGCTGGACGAGATAATTGCTGACCCGAAGAGCTGAACCCTCAAGGCTGAATTCGCGTTTTCGGTTAAGATGTACCAGGTGATCCGATGTATCTGAATTTAATCACGATCCGTCATCTGATCAGAGTTCTCCATTTTCGAAACGAGGCAGGGCGCCCCGAAATTTCATAATGGTTTCCAATTCCATCTTGCAGGATGAAGTCCGCTCGCAGGTCATCCTGCTTGAGAGTCGCAATATTACGGGCAGGGATTTGAATATTACGGAAGCGTCTCGAAAAGCATCGCGGAAGTCGCGCGATTTCTTGGATGTCGTATCGGGGGCTAGAAAAGCGCCCGTGCCAAACGCCATCTCCTCGAAGTGAGATCCTCGAAGCTTCGATATTCCCTCAACTTCTGCCTGAGTGAAATAAGAATTCGTTCAATGGTTCCCAAATGCTTCTTGTCTGCTCTATATCTTATGATCCTCATCTCATCTCGAGCGCTTTATGAGATTCATATGAATGAATGAATGAATGGCGATAGCCGAGGCGCTCGCTCGAAATCTCTCTGCTAGGGAGCCAGGCCACGCGGCAGACGCGTGAAAGCTTATAAGTGCGCTCAGGTGAAGATGTATCGAACTGTACAATCAACCGTACAGAACCGTACGGTATTATCGATTGATTCGATTTTATCGAGCGTCGAGGAGTTACGAAGACACCACATAAAAGGCTGTGGCTCGAAATGTGGTACGAAAGTCGCAACATGATTGAGAGTGGAGCTCAAAAGGGGACCGCAATAGTACCGCACTGTGTCATGTGATTGGTTTTCCTCGTGTCTTTGGAAAAAACGTGTCTGAATTTGGCCCCGGTCCATGAGGAAGCGTGGATATTCATTATAGTTTATACCGAAGGAGGACGAGACCTAATCATAGTTTTAATCTGGGGATGGACGGTCGTAAAGTTTAGAAGCTATTGACCATGTACCACTTCCGTTGCATTTGTTTACTTTCGGGAGGGGTCGATAGAAAGTGCGACATAGGACGCAGTCCTACGTCAAAAATCCTACATACGCCCCTGAGCATGTGTTGTTCCAATGGAAGGGTTCAGCAATCTCCATTAGGAAGTTTCCCCGCGACATTGCACACGCTGTACGTTGGCAATGACCAGAAGTCTGATAATTTCCGACAACACATACGAAAGTATAACAACGCCCTCGCTTTGGCATCTATGACGGCCGAAACGGACCCACCTTCAGGATTCGGTCCGTACTGTTTTCGTTTTCATGGACAAGTATATCACAGAACGGGGGCACTCCGACCCAGGAATGGTGAGTCACCGCAGTGTGCTCAAGTATTGATAATTAATACGGAACAGGCAGCCCAAGAACTTGCGGAAAGAAATGTCAACCGGAGTTGTCGTGAAGATGTTTCCGCTAATCTCTATTCGGTCCTGAATGATGTCAATCCGTATGCTCGAGCTTTCAAGTTAATGTCACAAGCCGCAGACGGAGAAGCGCAACGAGCACGGGAGAACGGTCGCCCTGCCAGGCCAGTGCGGATGGTGTTCGAGCGCAATGAAAACGAAGACCAACGCCGCACAGTGGGGCAGAATGCGAAAATAGGTTGAAAAAATTTTTTGCTGTTTTTTTTCAAATCGTCCAAGCTCATCGATAAGGGGGTGATGATGAGGGCGACCAACCCTCGGGTCCGGCGGGATGGATTCGAGGCGGGCCGTATGAACCATGAGAGTGATGGGAACTTGACCGAGCCTTTTGGCGTTCTTCTCCACAGAAGTTGTACGACTACGACAACTCCCGTTGTATCTCCGACGCAAGCTGGATGCGTGTTTACTCAAAGATCGTCTTAATGACGGGGAGTCCTCAATCATAGCACTCTCGAGCTTCACTCGGGCCAACAAAACCTTCTCGAGGAGATCTAAGTTCGCGAGTAAAAGCGAGACACTTCGATTTGCACACCTGCGGGAGATTCTAGGACTCAACTCCTGCATCGAAAAAGCAGGGTTTGAGAACTGAATATGGAAGAAGAGAGATCGGAGAGTATTTTTAAGCTCCTCCCTGGAGGAAGACTTAGGAAGAGCGTGTACTTTCTACCTATGTGAAAGCTCGCTCGTTCGAATTCCTGAGCTTTCCAGCTTAGCGGTTCGTGGATATCTTGGGGGAATCTCTCGGCCATCAGCATGGTACATCCTATTCTTGTTAGGTATTCGCTGACTCCGTCTCGGGGGATTTTAGCGCCCTTCCCGTCTCTAATTAGGATGGGGCGTCGATTTTGTTTTGTATGATCAGACACGTACCTCCAAAACCTCTTCGATCGCTCGCGACGGGGGCCCTCAAGTATTTTCCTACTGAGTGAGATTCTCGGAACGCTTCCTCTCTTCGACTGAGATAGCTTTGGTTAGCTGTTCCTGTTTATGTCGGAATTCAGCCTCCGTTCGTAGCATCTCATGCCAGTTTCGGGTTCTCATCGCTCCCCTCCATTTCTTATTCGCCTCTTTCTTCTCCTCAAGAGCTTTTTTTAGCCCAGGTGAGCTGAAAATATTATCGCTACTTTATCTTGTCATTTTTGTGGCTCTCCGAATGCCTTCTCGGATAGCTTCCTTGGAGGTCAGGTAGTCTACTTTATGCTGTAGCTTTTCTCCCCTCTAAATTTTCTCCATTGCGATATTAGCTGCTTTCAATTTGTTTATAATCTTAAACTTCTTCGTCACTCGTTTATCGTTCATTCACCCATATGTGACACGTCATACTTATGAGGTTGTGGGACTCAATTGAGTGACTCCCCTCCTTTCGTCCTTTATCATGTTTTGACACGTTCTATATACTGTGTCATAACATAAGAAGTAATCGATGGTGGCCTCTTTCCTCGTGTGTCGGCCTTCGCATAGGTGAGACGAGTTCAAGATAACCATTCCTTGCCGATCCGCAAACTCCAATAATAGTCTGCCTCTCGTGTTGTTGTGCTCTCGGAAGAGATGTGTGTGGTCATTCATATCTCCTCCGATCACCACTCCTTTCATTTGGCATCTTCGGTCGATGAATTGAGATAAGGAGTTGAGCTGTTGTCTATTCGACTTCGAGACTGAGTGAGGGCAGTATGTTGATATTAAGACCCATTCCTCAGCTCCGTTTTTGAGCGTTGCCGTAACCCAATCATCCCCCGAGCCTTTTAATTCAAGCTCTGGATGTTGTGCTGCGAGTATTCCGACTCCTCCGAAGGCTTTCCTCCCTGACGTTCCTTGTCTATTTTTCCCTATACATTCGTATCCGTGGATTCTAGGGGGTGCTTCCTTATTCATAAGTTTCGTTTAACTCACCAATAAGCAGTGGCAGCGCCAGCCATTTTTTTTGGGAAGCTTGAATTTTTCTTAGATACAGCTTCCCCCGAATGAGGAAGTCAGCGCGCTCGGAGACACAAAGATTTACTTTATGAGGCAAGTATTAGTGTTGCATAGATGCGTACACTGATACATATCTATGTATATCATATAGTGGAAACAGCGGAGTCTTTCCGCGTTCCGTGTTATGTTACTTCCCCAGCGACGAGCTGAGATACGACTCACTTGAGCGTTTTTCACAGTCATACCACCAGGCGAATTCTTCGATCTTTGCCTTCGGCGAAATCGTCCACGATTTGATTTGTAAGTTCTCGGCCCTCGGTCAGATATTGATGACGGATATCAGCTGGGGTATTACCAATCATGAAAGAGGAAACCCTCGTTTCGGGGTTGCGTGCGTGTGGTGCGCCCCAGCGCATGTGCGCGATCAAGTCTTTCTCGTGACCTCGAGAAATTCAAAGCGGCATGATCGACAGCAGCAGTCCGAGTGTTTCGAAACCGATGCAACATATGATCGGAAAATTTTTAGGAAGCTAAGCTTCCCGACTCCAGAGGCTTTGGAAGCTATAGCTTAAAAAGCTTCCCGCTGGCGCCGCCACTGCCAATAAGATATCCGTGCCGTTCGCCTTCAGGACTTCCTCTCCAACCAGCGCCCATTTCTTCTTCAAGTTTCTCCCCCCGTTAATATTCAGGGCTGAGATCCTCAGGGATTCCACTTGATCTGTTTCATTCCCATTGGGTGATCTCCCTCGGCGCTGGCGGCGTACTCTCCTTCTGTAAGGAGCGCCGGGGTGTCGACACTGTTCGAAGTGTGCACCCCTTTGGCGGGTCCTATGTCTTCAAGGATCTTATTGTTGTTGTTGCTGCTGTTGTTGTCGTTGCCAGCTCCTGCTCCGTGGTCTCTCTCGGAGGTTCGCATATGAATCCCTTCGAGGGCGGGCTGGTCTTTGTTGTTGTTGTTGTTGCTGCTGTTGGGGGGTCTGTACAGCTCTCGACTCAGTCGCTCTTGGTCTCTCTCGGGTCGATATTGTACCCTCGAGCGTTTCTTGCTGGGCGACCGGCCTCTACTTCTCGATCTACTTCTTCGCCTAGATCTCGAGTTCGACCTCCGTCGGTTTCGCTGGTTCCCATGAAAACGAACGGCTCTTTCGTCACGTTCCTACTTTCGTGAATCGGGGCCGGCTTCTCCTGTATTGCCAGGTCTAGCTCGGTCGTCCCCTTCATCGGAATCGTACTCCCTAGGGGGTCTACCCACCGGCGAGAAGTTCTTCTTTATGTAGTTGAAGATACTGGCCGAGGTTTGGGTTTTCATTGCAACCCCGTACCTCTTATCCAGGTCGGCCCTCTTCTTTCTGAAGGCTTCTATACCAACGGCCGTCATTCCCTCTTGATTTTGAGGCGATATGCCACTTACCTAATAGACGTGCTGTGCTATTCGCTTTTCCAGCTCCTTTGCACCTTTGGCTGTCACTCTGTATACTCCAGAGCCATCTTCCGCCGACGTCCTGTAGAAATTCTCGGGAGCCATGTCTCTGACGTCCAGGGCGATAATTGTCCTTGCGCGAGCTTGCTCCGATTCCAGTACCGCCCGATGAACGCGAATCTCGCTGCGTGGATCCTGGATGATTGCGACCCAGGTGAGCGTCTTTATTCGCGCCGTCCGGGTCTTGAGGTAGTAACAGAAATCTCATAATCATTGTATGAGCCGCCAGTACATTCTGTTGATTTTTGACGGTCTCTGTGTCGTGCAGGCCGCTCATTACGATGACGTGAAACTCGGTCTATTTATACCGGTCCACGATGGACTTTACCTCCGCGCACATATGTTCTGTGCTCTCTGTTCGGTAGTCCCTCCATATCGTGTGGCGGGCCCCTTCCATCCTGTTGAACAGGTCATCTTCGACCCTGGCATTTTTTAAATGCCCAGCGTTCGCTCTCCAATGAGAATCATTGAAGGCGAGCTTAAGCTCTATCGGGTCTGCTGTTCTGACATTTGTTGCGAGGAGCCGGGTCTGTCTTTGTTTGCGCGGCCTTCTGTCAGCGTCAGCTGTTCTTCCTCGCGCGCGTACAGTTCAATTTCTGGACCTTCCCCTTCTGATTCCAGGAGTTGGTCCTCTGCGTTCATCACGTCGTCCCCTTCTTCGGGTCGCCGGAGGTGCATCCCTGCCATCTTCGAACTAGCCTTCTCTCCTTTAAGGCGATTATTCTCCGCCTGAAGGGTCTCGATCCGCTGTCTCATGGCCTCAGCCAGGCAGCACGTGTTTGGCATCCGGGGGGTTTTACCGATCCATGCTTCATTGCATGTGACGCACCCGATCGTATTTTTGGACACCGTGCTACCTTTATTCAGTAGGCTGGTGTTTGATGATGATGATGCCATTATCTGGGCTTATTCTCCCTCTTGGCACTGATGTTAGGCTTAGCGAGCGACACAAGTTTATCCCTTGATCGGTTGCTTCCGCCTGTTTTCTTCCACCGAAACCAAATATTTAATGCCCTACCGGTCCCAGTCGCTCCCTACACACACACACGCAGTCGTTCAGTCACTCACACACACTTTCGCACCCAAAAAAACTTTCCGCAGTTTTCTCAGCTGCCTTCCGTACGCGCGCTAGCAGACCTCTATCCGTCCTCCATTTTATAAGAAGATCGCCCGATGCGATCCAAAACTCGCATCGGTTCGCTGTATTTGATTTGTCCTTTTGTGGTGAGTGGTTTCCGAATTCTCGCAAATTCCGGGCACAAAAATCAGTTGTTCCGCTGCACTCCGCTTGGCAAAGAAGCTTTGCTTGATTTGTTGCTATTCGACTCGTTGCCGAGTCGTTGCCAGGCCTTCCGTCGGTTCCGCTTCAACCCATTTTGAAAAATAGTCCACCACAACGACCGCGAAACGATTTCTGACGCCCAGGGGCGCATCGGGGCCCCTTAAGTCGGTGTGCACCCATCGGCCCGACAGCTGGATTCGCTAACCCTCTCCTTAATCTACCCGCTAAATTAGCGGGCAATCTTCACGGAGCCACCGCGAAATCGGCAACCCTGTAGCAGACTACCCGTTAAGAAAAACACGAAGATTCTTTGTCGAGCCGACAGCCGACTACGAAATCAGACACGAGTTCGCTCAATGACCATGACTACCTTACGACCTCGTAAGGTAGACTTTAGAGCTCGTCACGCCCGTAGGCTCACTCGTGAATATCGTATATGTTTCTCTTAGAAACGAGGTATTTACATGGAGAATTACATAGGTCATATATAGGTACTTTAAAGTATTAATCGAAATATTAGTTGTGAGCGACCCGGCTCACATATTGTATCAAAGAGAGCTCCTGGGCTTCATATTGATCCGTCAGACGGATCAGTCGTTCGTTCAGAACTCGATACTTCTTCCGAACAGGCTTCGGAGCTCTGCCCATATCGAGTGGCGAGCGTTGAGCTTTATTGCCGTGCTCTTCTTTCTGAAGGTGCGACACGATCTCGAAGAGGTTAACGTGTCGTTTCCCGACGCGACCATTGAGGGCGTGATGCCAACCCTCGATATGGTTTGTTGTACGCGCTCCGAAGTTCCTGTAATGGTTCCAGAGAACACGCGGGAAAACCGACTCGTTCTCCAACCACGTGCTTATGAAGTACGTTTTGAAGCGATCGAGGGCTTGGAAGGCTGGATGGTCTGCACTCGGAGAGTCGCTGTCTATCTGCAGCCAAGCTTCATCGATCTCCTCCAGAGGCACCAAACTGAGGGCTGCCACGCATTTGAGGAATCTGTTCACAGCTCGATCCCCATAGTAAGGCTGTAAACCGAGCTCCTGTGCTTTCCTCCACAAAGCCTGGACAGAAGTGAAAGTCACAGCCTTTCACTCCTGCTCCGGGGAAACTCTCTTGGATGGCGTTGAGGCAAGCCACTTCGAAGTCCAATTGCACCGTTGTGGGTTGGAAAACTTTCCCCACAGAGAGGGCATACTCTTTGAGCATGGCGAAGACTCGGTTGTAGGTAGCCTTGGACTTGTCCGGGAGTAAGAAATAGACCAAGGCTTGCATCTGTCCCTTGTAAAAGGCGTGAATGGAGTATAATTGGAGAAACAGCCTCGGAACCACCCGGAAAGTTCCATCCATGTATATGGAGCGAGCCTCGATTAGGATCCTCATCGATTCATGCGAAGCGAAGCCGGGGATACGATCTGACGAGCCTTGATCAAAAAGC